CCTCTTTTTCTTTAAGCTACTGAAGCGACCTCGCAAGATGATACTTGACAACTCTCCCGGTCTTTTCCGGGATACTACAGGGAAGGAGAAGGGGGAATAACAAAAATAAAGCCCTAAAACTCAATGGCAAACTAGTCAAACCCCGTTGCTGAGCGGCTGAAGCCAAACGCAACCGATGGGAGTTTGCAGGCGCCAGCGATGCGAGCGCTGCCTTCGGGGAGAAAAGAGGGAAATTCCCCYGGGAGCTGCTTCCATCGTCCCGAGGAGGCCCCATGAGCCCTAGGCTAAAGCACTGCAACCCCCCAGCAAGATTTGCACATATAAAAATACATGATTCGAATACGACCGCCGCGCTCGAGCATGAAACGCAKCACGCGCCCGCTCTGCTCCTCAGGGCTCTCCTCTCGCTCGGCCCTGTTGCCACCCCGAGATTAAAGCAAGAGATTTAAAACAGATGCCTCAAAATAAGCCAGACAGCGGGAGCGTGGCCACTTGTGGGGAAACACTGCCGAAAGTGGTTAATAATTCGGGATGGCGGCCCTGATGCCACAGCCTTCATCCCCTGAAGCCACCRGGCACATCCTTTAGCCAAATAAAGATGTAGTTTTAGTAGTTTTGCTTTTGTAGTTTTACTTCTGCTCCTGCAAGTGCTGCCTCCTCCATCACTTGGAGCYGATGGCAGAAGATGAGAGCTGAGCCACCACATACATATTTAAGCATTCATGCCAATAAAACAGAATTTCACACCTTGCAGCAAGAACCCATCACAGATCTAAGTCACTAAGGGCCCTCTGGAGTTCCTGCTTCCTCTCTAAAACCCCATCTAAAACCTCAGAGTTTCCTTAGAGTTCACCATTCAACTGGAGCTGTTTTATCCACAGAACTCAAAGAAGTTGTGATGGATAAAGAGATTTGTTTGGGATGATCTAGGGACCATGGCATGACACGGATGCACAGTTGACTTTGCTCCTTTCCCGTCCTTTCCCCGCACCTCATGGAATGGGATTTGATTAAACTACACCCGCAATTAAAACGTCATACCAGAACTCCGAGAAACTTTGGCACCAGAGGTGCTCTAACATCCCCTCACAGAACAAGCAATTATTACCTCAAATGCACCTAAGCTGSAAAGGAGATCTGAAATAAGGGGCTGTATCATTTTCTAGATCCTATGGCTCTTCCCTGTCACCAAAGAAATGCTGATTGCAGCTAATTCTGGTCATTGGAGAGTTTGCTTAGCCAGAGGCTGCCCCATCATATATTTAAGAACACATYAGTACTCCAGAGTTCCAATCCAGCCCTTTAGAAAGTTTTAAATATGATTTGTCCAATGAAATAAATAAATAAATAATATACATATGCTCAGAAACCCTCAAAGCACCAAAATTCAGCATCCAGAGCACAGCCACTGGACCAGCTTTTAATGCAAACTGKTTTGAAAGTTTAAGAAAGTTGTTTTCAATTGCACCGTACAACAAAATGACAACGTGATTATTCTGAGCATTCCCCAAGCATTCAAATCATAACCTGCAAGACCTGAAATTAAAGGTGGTGAGGAGAAAAAGTTCGAATAGATTATTTGCCTGAAAGCCCCCGTTGTAAGGACAGGCTACAAATCCTCCACTCATCTTTCCTGGTGGTTTTCAGCAAAGCAAACAAGCCGTGGCTCAAGCCAGACCAGGTCACATATAATTTCAAGAAGCAGGAGCTTAAAGCAGTGGGTATATTTGATTCATGCATGTAACGGACAGGAGACAATAGATGGGTGCAAGCGTTCTCAGGGGAAAAGCAGCTAAATAAATAAAATGCCAACTTTAGGGCTTATCAGGCTTCTAGTTTTGATTGAAAAAAAAAACTACAAGAAAATCCAGACYTGGTAGTTTAATCTGAGAACACATAATCCACCCACTGCCCTGGGGCAAGCTATTGTTATTATTGTGACATTTAAATATGATCCCACCCGATACAAAAAAAAATCTTAGGAATCATTTCTGTCAGTCAACAAACCTTAACTTGTTTTAGATCGAGCTCCAATTATTAGAGCTAAGGTAAGTTTGTCTGGTAACTTGGCACTCACGGTGCTAGAAGGAAGGATGTGAAGTGTGTTGGTATCGGGAGAGGAAGACTCCCTCCTTCCTCCCATCCCYGGCTCTAGCCTGACTGCGCATCAGCAGAGCTAGTTTTGAGTACTGTCAAAAACACCATGGAGAGGAGCAAGATTTTGGTTTGGCCTTGGGTGACCTCTCCAAACTTCTACCGTTTCAGCTTGCTTCTGTTTCTTCTGGCATCAGAGAGCGTGCTCAAACCAAATACTATTTTTAACTTTAATTTCAAGGTCTAGAAAAAGAAGTAAAAGAAACTTTATTTCCTGGTAAGCTTGATGCAGAGATATATTGCCAAGTTCATACTTCAAATCTCGAAAAATCAACCGATTTCGGAGATTATCCATTCTACCAGCTTTACGTCAGCTAAACTGTGATTATTGCCGGACTCCCTTTCCCAAGGAAAATATTATGTTTCCAGCTCTAAAAGCATTAAGGAAGTTTCAAAGCCAAAACACCATACATCACTAAGAATGAATTTATCCAACCCAAGGAGTTTGTAGCAATCCAAGCCTTTTAAGCAAGAGATCTTTTCCATCTCTCCAGAAAGAAAATCAGTTTCACTGCTTTAAAGACACAGTTTTCTCAAAGCTGAGCTAAATTCTCCAAAGAGCTAAGGTCTGAAAAAGTAAGTCCAATATTTGAAAAAAGATCCTTATGAAATTAGGAATCTCCTTCCTTGCAATAGCAATTTTATTCTTATATAGGCAAGAGATCGGATTAATTTGAGGACGTTTTTTCTGAACCACCAGCATCTTTAAGTCAGTTTTCATTCACCTGGAGKTATCTGCATCCCGAGGCTGGTGGGCAAGGCTACATTTATGCTCCAGGAATGGAATCACACACTGGGAAACCAGTGGTATCATCACCAAGCAGGAACAGAACCCTAAAACGGGCTGTGTTCCCTTCAAAAAGGGGCAGAATTACTCAAGTTCATCCCTTGTCACTTATTACAATTCAGTTCCTTAATATTAAAAGCTTTATGCACATATATACCATTAAATTTCTCCTAACTTTTAAGCAGTGACCAAAGAGGGGATCCAAGTCTCATTAAATTCTTAATTAAATTCAGTGTGGCCAAGTTCAGTGGACGTGGGATCATGCTGCCCCTTACACAAGGGCATTTTATTTGTGCAGGGAAACACTTTCCCCTCTTGCAGAAACTAAACATAACAATATCTTATTCCTACCTGAAATAAGAACCCTGTAAAGAGAGGGAATATTCTCTCTCCTAATTTAAACAGATGCATTCACTGCAGATGCTTTCTGGAAAGTTGAGCAGAGATCGTTTTGTTCATCCTCCCATCTGTGTATCTTACAACAGAAGGGAGCAGAAACGCTCGCTCACGTTGCAAGAATATTCTGAATATTCCCCTATGAATTCAGGGGGAACGTGCATGCAGGGACAGGTAACAGGAACGTTAGACTACAGTAGTCAATTTATTAGATTTCTGGTATGATTGATCCTTTTAAGATATTCTTTATAAAAAAAGAAAAAGCAAGCAGTGATTATGCCAAAAGGCACCTTAGGAGATTTACTCCTAAGCATGCAACTCTGCCATGGAAGTCAATCTCCTGCTACCTAAATTATCAAATCTGTATTAGACAAGAAAGTCTGTCTTAAACATCTCCTTGAGCAACTTTTTAAATTGTCCTTTTGGTAGAAGGTTTGTGAGGAAGYTTCAAACCTTGCCGCAATCAAATTGATGGAAAAGGTCTTGTTTTACACGTACTGAAGCAACAGTTGCAGAAAGTAAAATGACTTCGTAGCACTTTGCATTCAAGAGATCATCATAAGCTGTTGTATGAGGCCTCGTTTTTTTGTGAGGTGTTCCTCAAGCGCATCTGCTTTGCAACTTGGACATTTTTCTGTTCAAACCCGTATTTCTTTCTCAGCTGCTCATTACAGAAGCTACTGCTGTCAAAGCCAGCGAGAAGACAAACGAGCAACAAAGTTGAGGGAACAAGTTGTTGGATGTCAAGCGAGGAGGCACGGCTGCAACRCACACCATGAGGTTTAATTCTACCTTTTAGATGCAGAGAACTCAACAAGCAACACCGCGCAAGCTGGGCTGGACTCACCTTTTTGAGGTACTCATGTCCACAGGTTCATCTCCGGTCTGAACCTCCACTTTAATGGTAGCTTTCACTTCTCCACCTTTTAACAATCCTTGCACTTTTGCAGCTCCAGGATCTGCTTTTATCTTCATGTCGCCTTCAGCGTTTACGTCTGCTCCCAACAGTCCTTTCTCCATTTTTATTTTTTTGCTGTCCACATCGTTATGCGGTACGTCCCGCTCGAGTGCTCGTTTCTGACTCCGGGTCCTGCATGCCTCCTCTGTCATGGTGAGGCTCTGCGGCAAGAGGAGACACAAATGAGTTAAGAGCATTGAGAAAACACCGAAAAAAAAAGTTGGGCAAAACACCTTAATTTCCAAACAGGGCAAAGTACAGCGGTTACGGCACAAGAAACTCAAAGAGGAGCAGCAGCCTTGCTGGGACGCCCACGTACCCTATCGCCAAAATACATCTCAGTTGGCAGCTATTAAGCACGGAGCATCCGCCATGCCCACACTTTTTATGCTAAGCAAAAAAACAAACAACAAAAAAAAGGCCAAATCAAACCAAACCCCCACACCCGCACCCAAACCCCCTAAGTATAAGGCAGGATCACAAGCGGTCAAGAAAACCCGCACAGGAGCGCGGGGGAACATACAAACCGGCACGATTCCAAAGTTTGGAGCTTTTCCAAAGAGCAGGAAGAACGTACGTATTTGTCTCGTATGCAAATAGAAGTAATTACAACTCCCCTCGCTCAGGAGCTCGGCGGGAGCCCTGCCATGGGTTTCCTAGGGCTCTTCCCGGGTGTGAGTGGCGGGGAGCGGAGGCTGGGGACGCGAGGGGCGTCCTCGGCGCGCGGCCACCGGCCACTACGGCACTGCCATTGTAGGAGCCAACTTGCTACTTTCTCCCCTCCTAATGAATGAGCCCGGCTTTTCCAGGGCTGCACAGGAAGTGCTCGGCTCCCAGGGGATCCCRGTTAACTCCCTGCGTGCCGGAGGCGCCGAAAGTTGGGCCACGGGCGCCGCTCGGGCCGCCTCGGCTCTGCCCGCGCCCACGGCCGGACCGGGACCGGCCGCCCCGGGAGCTGAGTCAGGCTTTGATCCCATGACATCACCCGGCTCCACATGACCCTTCCCAGGATGCAGCCCGACACACAAAGCGCTTTCCAGAAACCAGTCTGCGCCGGCTGCCGGCACCGCGGGGTCGGGATYGGGATCGCGGGCCGGGCGGCACCGCTGCGGGACGGCCCCTGCCACAGAAGTTTCCGTCGGCACAGCCGGGTTCTTCTTTTCCTGCAAATCAAGCGGATTTTGGGAGTGACGCCAGCAAGGCAGGAGTTGGAGCAAGTGTCTGCAGTATTTTAAAGGCTGGAATTCTGCAAGTCTTGTTAACCTCTGCTTCTCCCCAGCCTGTTATTGCAGGGCCTTGCAAGTGAGCGGCAGCATGAGCAGGGAGCGAGCGTGCACGGGCTGCAGGAGTGCACGGGCTGCAGGAGTGCACAGGCTGCAGGAGCGCACCCTGCACGTGCATGCACAGCTTGGCCACCCTCGAACGTCAAGCAATGGGAAAAAGGCGGGCGTCCCATGAGCAATTTTGGCGTTTAGGGAAGGGAGCAAACGGAGGAGCCCAGGCGAAGAGCCGGGGATGTGGCGGCTCCAGGGACGCGGAGCAAACCCCATAATCCAGACCTGCCGACCCCGCTCCCATTGCAATTCCAGCATCGCTGTGGCCACTCCACCATCATTTCTTCCCGGGACAAGGGACCTTCTGCCTCTCTGGAAAGGAACCTGTTCAGGTGGCTTCGTCTCTGCATTTAGACCACCGAGCCTCGACGCACGTCGAGGGATTTGAACCTCTGCGTCACCTGCGAGTTGCTAACAGACTTCAAACCCCGCTACTCCTACAGTGTTCCCTTGCAGCCCACGATTCCCAAAGCAGCAGCAGCCTTTATCCCTGCCACATCCTCAACACTCCCGTACAGACACGCACAGCTCCAACCTTGGCTTGCAAGGGGCTTCAGCTCCCTGCGTGTCCACCCCATGCACAGCCCACGGGGGACACTTGGCAGGGGCAGTTTTCCTTCCAGGAACAGTGCAGCTGCTAGGACAGCTCCTTTGCAGACTAAAATGCACGTTTTCTTTACGCGTTTGAGGTATTTTGTCACAGCAACGTCCCCTGGGAAGCGTGCGGGGACAGGAGAGCATCATCACCCACACTGCCAGAAAGGCCTTGGGACAAGATTGCATAGAGATTTTACAGCCCAACCTGACGATGATTGCAAGCGCGGGCTCGAGATTGATGTATATGCACATGCATGCAGAAACCGGGCTGCACAGCTCCCCTGCCACCGCGATGTTAAGTCATATTTATTATAGATGAGCCTTAAATGACGCCGCCCATAAGGGCTGCTTTAACTCTTGCAGGAGCTGATCCTGGTGCATCCAGGACTACTGCAACATGTCACAGGTGGAGAGAAAGGCAGGATTACACAGAAAATGTTAAKTTTTATGGAGGGCTCTGCTTTTTATTACGAGGAACGGCGCAGCTCAGAGCGAGGTGTGGGGATCGAGACACCCAGGTAAAGGGCTATCCCTGTAACAGATTAACCACGAGGATCAATTCAAAAGRGAGTTCAGTACACGATAGGCACGATATAAAATGCAGTAAACCTCCTGCGCTGCAGGCCACKGGGTTACCCCGTCACACGCAGCTATTTTAAAGTCCTATCAAAGAAAATCACCAATTCACCACCTTTTTAACATACGAACAACAAACGAAATCCCCCAATCTTCCACAGATCTGTAACCTCTTCATGCTACGCTGGTGATGTTACGGACACCTGTGATTCCATAGGTGTCCATACGCTTTCCTTTTGGGAAAGCACTGAAAGGGATCTCTTGTTGTCTTCCAAACTGTCCTTTCCAAACTGTCCCTCCCTGGGAGAGCAGAGCAGCAAGAGCACAAAGACGAACCTGGTACCCGAGGCAGGACCAGAAAGGGTCTGCAGATCCTCCCACATGTCCAGGGAACAGCCACGGAGCCAAAAACACAATTAAAAGGAGCCCTTTTCCCTGCAATCTGTGACAAACGCTTCCACTTTCCCTTGCATCGCCCTTGCAAACCGCCGTGCRCCACCTCCTGCCTCCTCTCCCATTCCCCTCTCCTCGCCCATTCCCGAATTACAGCTTCATGCTACAAGCCACAAACAACCCTGGATTGGAGTTAAAAAGTTATATTCTGGCTCTGCCGGAGCCTGTTGATGTTTCTGGCGAGCACGAGCAGCAGGTACTGGTTGAACACAGACCATCTACAGGAGGTTTTGAACAGGAACTACAGCTGCACACTGAACTAGCATCCAGCAACAGGTTATTTGCTTTTTTTGGTAGGAATAAAATAAAATAAAATAAAATAAAATAAAATAAAATAAAATAAAATAAAATAAAATAAAATAAAATAAAATAAAATAAAATAAAATAAAATAA